AAACTAACTTATAATCTTATATTTGATCATATAATACTTGAAAAACACCAAAAGTGTGATAACATATTAGATAGTAATTTACTAGGTGAATCAGTATGCTGCTAATTACTTCATCGGTTGCGTATCTCGATAAAACGAGTAACACTAAATTTTCTATGGACAAACACGAGCTGCTGACACTTCTCAATGCTGTAATCGTTAAATTAGAAATAATTGAAGCATATCCAAAATTCAAAATAATGTTATCTTCACGGAAAACACAAAAAACTGATAACAACGAACAGAAGAGATCCCTTGCTACTGATATTCAGCGAGGGGCACTGGAAATGAATGAATCACGTTTCACGAAATCATCGTGGAGCACACTTCTTGATAAATTTGACTAATAGGATTAACAGGTAATAACCGTGATTCTTAACTTTGTTCTTAACATACGCATACGCGTTACCGATAGTTCTGTGGAACAGAACTTGAACAATACGGTGCAATCTTGCGAAAGATAAATATTAATTATGGCATGGAAGTGTGTGAGATAAATAAAACGAGTAGCTTTCACATTATCGTTGAAAATATGGTTTGCTTTATTTTTCGATAGGTACATTTAATATTGAAATGCTTTGCATGGGTTTAGCCTACTTAACGATGTGATAAAAATATTGAAACGATAAAAATGCCCTCCAGAATTATTATAGTGGCACTTCGCATTAGTCAGATTTATTATTTCGATAAAGTGTGTGTTGCTGTCATTTTTCAGTGCTTACGAAAATTTGTGTGATCATTTTTAAGAGACACATAAATACCAAATGCTGTTAATTATTTTATCGGACTGTTAGGTTTGTTATTTCGATAAAGTGTGTGTTGTAATTGTTGCAATTTTACAAAATTTGTGTAATAATTTTTAATTATTATTTATTCTTTAGTATTTTGATAAAAAGAATAATAAAACACGTGGAAAGTGCCGAATTTATATTTTTAGAGGCCCTAAGCGCAACATCATTACATTTCTTTTTTAAGTTCGTTGCAAGTAAAAGTCGACATTTCCGTAACAACTCGTTCACTAAAATAAAAATAACGCAACATTAGCATACCCATATACAGGGTGTCTCAGCTGATTTTGGCATCTTGATTTTCTCGCTATTATTAGACATGGCGAAAAATGTTTCAGATGAAAGTGAAACTTTCCAACTCGTGAAAGAATTAACCCTTTCGCGACTAGCGCCGGTTATATCCGGCATCCACTAAATGCTTCACACTGGCT